CTTATATCTTCATAATTATGGTACTTGGTAGACTCAAATACTAAATATTAATTGTATTTACTAGTAGTATATACTACTACTTCTTCTAGTAACTTTTTTAGGGTTATGTAACACTCCCAAACCTGAAGAAGGAATGGAAACAAAGAATGGAGAAATCATTTTTACTCTGTTTCACACACAAGTGGCTGAATGATGAATTAAGGACCAAGTTTTCCTCATAGACAGAATGTTACCAGCAGCTTTTTTTCTAATGGCAGAAAGGCAGGACAGAGTTAGCACTGAGTGAGCTAAGGAGAGGAGGAATTAACATCACACACCGCACTTACTTGCCAAAGGAAGACCAACAAGTTCCATGCACTTCTTGCACATAATAGACCCACAAAGGCGGCAGTGGTGACGTCGGTTTCGAATACTGAACTTATTGCCACAGTCTGGGCAGAAGGGAACATCCTGGTCACTGACCCAAGGCACAACAGACTTCTCTATAGCTGTGATACGGCAAGAGTAGGGAGGAATACACACAACATAAAATACTCATTCAATTAATTCCTCAGCTGGTTAAACTACAGGAACAAACAGTCTGAGGTAAGCTCATACCAACCTCTTATTTTGGCTGACTCAGTGTTTGCTCTGTCAAACGATGTAAGCTAGTAGGAGATAAACAACACATTCAAGAAAATGGCACTTTGCAAGAAAAAAAAACAATACAGTCCAGCCCAGTGAGAAAAAGAAACCTATAGATTTGGAGAGACAGAAGTCTCAGCCTGTTCTGCACCCGATTTCCTGCAACTTCCCTATTTATTTCTAATGCAACATTCATAAAGTAGTTCCAAACAATGACACCAAACCTGTACAAATCAGAGCATTTTGGACATAATCCTTACAGCATCCAGCATTATCTGAGACAAAATGCAAGTATATCATTGGTAGATTTTGAAGAATGGAAAGCTGGAAGAATCATGACAAACAAATCAGGGAGAAATATAGCCAATGATGAAGAAAATATATGGGGAAAGAAACAGTTCCTGAAGCAGGTGGATGCAGTATCTTCATCTTGAAACTAGTGCACAAAACAGAAGTCAAATCCACAGTATGGGCTCAGACCAAGCACAGTACTCAAGGATAAAAAAGGAAAACAGTAATGTGTGAAGAGTATTAGTTTAGTATCCTTTATAAAAGTGGCTGCTAGATAAATGGGCACACTTCATACTAAAGATATATTAAATATTAAAAATATTAAAAGCATCAAATTTACCTTTTCTAACCTGATTATTAACTTATTGACTTCTACTACATAGTGATCAATCCTGGCTGCTCGGTGTTTCTTGAAATCAGAGAGATGGCTTCTCATAGCACCTAGAGAGACAGCAAAAAAGTGTTCACAGTCACCCAGGTGTTCTGAATGGATTTAAATGCCCCTTGAAAGACAGCTCTCCACTACTTACGTCTCATCTTCAAATTAAATTTTAAAGACAAATTAGAACCCTACATTTTCATGGTGCTGCCCTAAATAAAACATGCAGGTTAAAGCCCAACCTCCAGGCTAGCAATAAAACAGCATTTTCTTTCTAATACAGAAAACAACAGGCACTATGTTGAAGACAACATCTGCAACAAAGTTTTTGCCCTTCTTCATCCCTTAGTTACATCTGGCAAGCTATTACCAGTTAGTAGTGTTCTCAAAACCAACTCCACACAGTTCCATGCAGCATCAGCAATACTGTAGCACTTTCCCAATTAAAGAAAAATCCTTGCTGCATATCACTTTCTAGCTCTCCTACCAACTTCCTGGGGCTCCCACATGTATGGATCTACTCCACCATAGCTGAATGACTCATATCGTTCCTGAGATCCAGAATCAGTTCTGTCATCTCCTTCTCGTTTCAGCAATTTCTTCTTTGCTCTTTTGGCCTTCTGGACTAGATCTGAAAAGGATAAATCCAAGTTACCAAATGTGGCAGGTAGTCACCAAATATTTGTCATGTGAAGTTTCTCATCTTTTAGCACTGATCTTTTTCCTTGATGACAGTTTCACCCTCAACATACTCTGCTTAGAACCAGAATGTGGCTCAGGGAATCACAGATGACTTGAAATGCTCTTTGTTATCTGTCGCAAAGTAGCACTATGATCCTAATGATAAACCAGCAGTTTTAGACATTCCATTCAAGGACTTCACTGTAAAGTAGTAAGCTGTCTTTAACTATAGGACCCATTTCACAGCATTCTGGGGCATCATGCAGATAATATCTTCATTCTCTGAATTCCTGAGGACTTTCTTAGGTTTCAAGGATGTTCAACACCGTCTTGTTGCACAAACTACAAACTAAGAATTTCAGTGTGCTTGTACACATAAATACTTTCAGAAGCACTAAACAGCCCCAATCTCCTGTCAATGCTGGCAAGAGGGCAGTCTCCTGAGGCTTGAAACTCCAGACCTTCTGAAGCTACGCTCTTCTCTGTATGCTAGGAGAAGCTGAAGGCCCTACTCTTCCTGCCAGACACAGTCAGCTGTGGAAGTTATGCTACCTCCCAAAATTACACTCAGTGATATAAAATCCACTTCTCAACAAAGCTGTCAGGGATTTCTCCTCCTACTCTCAAGCCAGCACAGAAACACCAGCTAGACCCTGCAGTTCAAGTTTACACCACCTAAATAAAGAACAGATTTGCACCTGAGACTTCAAAAACCTGATACACTCAAAAAGAAGTAGGGATGCCTCATGGCTTTGTCACACACACAAAAGCTTTTCAAGCAATCCTCATAATTTTGTTTCCCATGAACTCCAACTTAACCACGTCAATATGACCCAACTGAATCAATACAGTGATTTGTAAGCATTTCTAGAACTCCAGTTAGAGTAGTTAGAGTTGAGCACAGTCCCTACAACAGGCAATTTAAATCAGTGGTTCTGCTGACCTTCCTTCTTCTAAAAGGGACCTCACTGGATAGACCTTGACATGAAAGCCTAGGACAGAAAGTAAGCAGACAAAACCAACGTCCTTTATGTAAAAACATGCATGAAAGATGGCCTGAGAAGTCACAGTACACTAGTCTAGATTAAAAGAACACTGAGAGAACAAAATCAAAGCACAGGTGTTTTGTATTAAATAAAAGCATTTTGGAAATCTTGCCAACCCAACTTGTTGCTTTCTTCCCTCTTACCATGGTGAAAACCACGGTGTTATTTTGGTTTAAACGCTCCATGGAAGCACCTGTGATTCAGCTCTTTGCAGCACTGTACCCATGTAAGAACACAGCTGCAGTACTGAGCACTCTGCCTTCGCTGTCCAACAGCGGCACAGTGCCAAGAGCCAGGAAGTAGCCAGACTGATGGAAAGCAACCTAAAGATTTGAAATATTCTGTGCTGCCCTTGAGATAGGCTTGTTAAACCCACAACGCTTTCACTGAGGAAAGAGGCTTTTGAAATAACAGTCATCAATCTCAGGGGAAAAAAAAGCAGAGGCAAGAGTAAAGATTCAGGGCAGCCAGGCCACCCTCTCTCATATAATAAACACAAAAGGACTTTTACAGGAACACACAGAATTATCACCAGGTTTGGCACATTTTTCTCTCAATGTAAGACGACACCGAGTACACAAGGGGGATAAAAGGGTAAAGATTTTACTTAAAGAGAATTCAAAGGGGTTTACAGACCGCAGATGGCAATCCACAGCACAACCCCGGGACGTTCCCAGCAGCTACTGCTACCTCCACCCACATTCTTCTTTTTCTCCCCAACAACCTTTCTGAGCTTTACACACTGTAACTGCAGTTTTACCTACTGTCCGAACACGGGATTAATAAACCAGTACCCGGCAAGTACCAGAGATTCCCTTTATTCAGTAAGGTCTTCAAGTAATGCTTGAGAATTCATCTGGGTTACAGCATATATCAAGAGTTTTCAGATAAAAACAAAGCAACCCAAAGGGCCAATAATAAGTCACACACAGAAACAGACACTTGAAGAGTGATGGGTTTTAGTGGCTGCTTCCGAATTTTCTTATCGAAAGTATCGGAAATAATGTAAAACTCCTGCCTGGGCCTGAGGTAACGCGCGGCGGGAGCCCCGCGGTGCCCCCGCCTGGCAGAACCGAACGCGCTAAAATGCCGGTGACGGCTCTTACTTTTGAGCTGCGCTTTGACATCCCTGTCCTCGCGGGAGTGCTCCTCCTCGTAGTGCGTCTGGAGCTGGTAGAACGACTGCAGGTCCTTCAGGCAGAGCGGGCACAGGAACCCTTCCCGCATCTCCGCCGGGTCCCCGAACGGCGGCGGGCAGCCGGACGCCATGGTGCAGGCCGCGATCGCTCTCCGGGCTCAGCAGCAGCGGCGGGGCAGAGCAGGGCACGGCCGCCCCGCAGGGCCGAAGCGCGGGGCCGGCATCGTCCTTCGCGGCTTTCTGGAAGAGACGCAGGCAGCGGCGTCAGGCGGGCGAGCGGGCTGACGGCTTCGCCCCTGCTCCACCGGCGGCGCCGGAGACACTGAGGCCTACTGGGCCGCGGCGGGGCCCAGCTGCGAGCGCGGAGGCCCGGCCCGGCCCGGCCCGTCGCTGGCGGCGCACTAAGCAGGCGCACGTACCCTGCACTCGCCGGGGGCGCTGCCCCCCAGCTCGGGCGCGCAGGGAAAGGAGCAGGGCCTAGCGCCCGCGCCCACCGCACAGGGGCGGCCGTTACAGGCCCTCGCCCGGCCCGAGGGGCCGGAGCTCGGGGGCGCGGGAAGGGCTCACCTCGGGCCTAGCAGGAGGCACGTGATAGCAATGGCACCCGCCGGTAGGCCCCCGGCTGCCCGGGAGCGGTAAGGGGCGACGGAGGGTGGGGCGAGCACCGAGCTATCGATGGGCGGAAGGGGTGGGGACAAGCAGGGCTCATCCGGGGCCGGCGGAAGATGCGGGGCCTCGCTAAGGCATGCGCTGCCGATCGCAGAGCTATGGATGGAGGGCGGGGCGGCGGCGGTGGCGCCGGTGGCGGCGGTGTGGGGCCGTGCCCAGGCTCACATCCCCTGATGGGGGTGCGGTGACCGCTCCGCTGTTTCCAGCCACCCTGGAACGGACCCTGGTACCAGGGTCTGCTGCAGCATCCCGAGGCTTTCAGGTGTGTGTGAGAGAGGCTGCGTGCGATCGCTGTGACAGAATCCTGTCAGGAGCAGGGGTTCCGGGGCCTCCCGCTGCTTCGAGACATCCCACACTTAGTCGCTTCTTGTGCCGGCTGCCGGGGGGTTTGTGCCGCTAGCCGTTACTCCTGAGCGGGCTCGGGACCGGCATGGCTAACGGGGACAAGCTCGGTGTCCCCTTCCTTAGCTTGCCAAGGCATTCAAACGAAAGCGTTCCAAAGTCGACGCGGGCGCCGTGCTGCTGGCGGAGCCGCAGGGAAGCGGGACCCCGCCAGCACCTGGCGAACCGCTGTGTCAATGGCAGAAGGTTTTCGATAGCCCCTTTGTGATGCCAGGTTCTGTTTAGTCTCAGCTGGCAGAAAACTGCTGCCCCGCGTTCCCTTGTGTGGGGGAAATAACGGCAGCGCAGAGCCTGCTCCTGCTTCACCTGTTAGAATTGCAAGCTTTTGGAGGCAGAGATTATCTTCTGTGACAATGCTATTTATACTTCAGTCCTAGACATTAAAAGTGGTTTTTCACTGCACTTTTAGGCTTGGAGTTAAGTCCTTTAAAACATTAAAGGGTGGGAGTGTTTTTCCAAGGCATGGATTACATAACTAGATGCCCAACTTCTCTGGACTTCAAATCCCAGCTAAAGCACATGGGGTGTTCACAGACGGGTTGAGGGATTTTTACTAGTCATTCTAAATTTTGGTCTCGTTCCTGCAATCTGGCCCTTGTGCACTGACTGTTACGTGCACCTTGTCACATCACCAGTGAACTTCATCTGGTTTGTGTTTATTGTTCCATCATCTAGCAAAAGTATAATGGGAAACCAAAGTCCTAAACGTGAACTGGAGATTTAACCATAGCAGTAAATGAAGGTTAGAAACAATCAAACTCTGTTTTTTTTTTACACATACAGTTTGCTGTTAGGAACCATTATGCTCTGTTTTTCAAAACTGTGCAGTCTTGGTTCAGTTACGAGTAGAGAAAGAGGTGCTGTGGAAATAGTGTGGCACCCAGTCACAGTCCCCCTTCTGTTCAGCATGCAAAACAGAACCAGTTTTGCTGGCTGAAAACCAGTAAGGGATCTTGTCATGCTGTAAAAGCTGACCTTGTCGGGTACTGTCCCTGCAGCGCACTCAGGTACATTATAGAACATTGAGCTTTTTTGTGGGTTTTTTGTTTAAATTTATTTAACAAGTGAAGGGGCTGTTGGAACCCCAAGCATTTCTTGTTCAATGGGTGTAGGGAAGAGACAAGGAAGGTGGGTGATGGAAGCCGTGCCTGTCACTAGGTGTCACACCGAGCACGGCTGAGCCCACCGCAGACCTGCGGGGCCCTGCGGTGGATCCCCCACCCAGGGGCTGCTTGGCAGGTTGCTTGAAAGACTTTTTTCCTGCAGCAGGATGGTCCTGGCCGCTGGCAGCCCGGTCCTCTCCTGTCATTCAGAAGCTGAGAGTACCAGGTGTAAGGAAAAGCGAGGCTGTACTGAACAGCAAGCTCTTTCCTTAAACCTGTGCTTCTCTACAGCTTCGGTGACTGTGCCATTTGTTTGCATGTTTCTGGATTTAAAGAGTCTTCAACACTTTCTGAGGAACTCATTGCATATTAAGTGACTGCACTGTTTAGGATGATCTGAATCCTTATGAGAGTATTAGACTCTGGTTGGGAGACTCCCAGAGAGAATTATAGAAGTGATAATACAGCATTAGCCTTCCAGATGTAGTGATGTGTTGAATGGTCTCTGTGCACTCCCAAAGGGAAATGTGGGCTCCCGTGTCTCTGAGGGCCCCATGTCTTTTTACAGAGGAGCGCAATCCAAGTTTGTGCTGGTGTAAATGAGGATAGATTTTGGCTGCTTGTCGCTTAGTCAGGCTCATCACACTTTCCCACACGGAGAGTGTTCCCAAAATGAAAAACTCCAGGTCAGTCTAAAGCAATCCAGTTTCCACTTCTTCAAACATGAATTTTTTTCATCCAGCTAGTTGCAATAGGAAGAGAGGTATTTAGGGACAAATTAAACCTTACTGAAATGCTACAGTGGGAATACAACTGAGAAGGGGGACAGGCAGCCCTGTAGCCGTGGCACAGTCCTGTCAGAAATGTCTTCCAGTTATGTTCACATGTGTTCTCCAACTTGTAATATCTTCAGCGCCATTTGAAATGTTAAAAATGGAATCTGATCCCAGCACGGGAGAGATTAATGTAGACTAGAAGTAATTCTTGGTGATGCCCGTCTACTTCTCAGGGACATTTTTGTACAAGTACAGCTTACTCACTGTACAAGTACAGCTTACTCACTGTACAAGTACAGCTTACTCACTGTAAAAAATGTGTTCAATATCTGAAAGTTGTGTTGAGTTCAGTATAGATTTTGGGGTGGAAGCAGAGTGGAAAATCAGAGTGTTCTTTGGAAAATCAGTGTTCTTCCTAAACTAAGTGGCCAGTTAATTTTGAGTGGCACTGTGTGTAAAATTGGCCTAAATTCAGTTTTGTAATTTAATGATAAATTTAAAAAAATTAATTTTGAATCTCCTAACATTGAAAGGGATTAGCATGAAATTCTTCCCACAGCATTGATTTTAATTTATTTGCAAAAAAAAAAATTATTGTTCATTTAGGTGGATCTAAACCAACATTTTCTCTATTTTTCATTTTGCTCATAGAACTGAATAGAGGAACACAAAGGAACACATCGCTGTTCCTTTTAACAAAGCTCGTACATTCAGTGTACTCCAGTTGCTTGGAGTAAACATTTTGATACAAACCAAATCCGTTTAAGTAGTTTGTACAGAGAGGACAGACGCTCCATTTCCATGCTAAACCATGGCTTTTCCTGTGTTTGCAGACTCCTCAATCAAAACTGGCAGGTGGTGATTTGTAAGAGCTGCAGCTGACAGCTTTTGAGCCCCATTTGTCTGATTTGCCTATTAACTGCTTCAGCACTGGCAGGCCAGTCATCTGCATAAATTTATCTGGCCCTTACTGCTGCTGAAGAATCTGGGATGTTGGGCTTGAATGCTGGGGAGTGGCACCACTTGTATATAGGGTAGGTGAATTATAAAGGGCAGTAAGGAAGATTCAGAATTCCTTTGTGTTTGCATTCTATTTAATGTTTTAACTGTAGGATCCATATGCCACAATGTCTAGATTATGTTCAGGGCTCATTTCAGATTTCAAGCACCTTTATATTTGGGTGCTGTCTCCTGTAGCCTCTCTTGTATTCTATTTCCCCTATAAATTTGTACAGCAACCAGTTCCCTTCTTGAAAGCATCTCTAAAATCAGTAAGCAGATACCCTCAACAGTGGGTGTTCAATAGTGAATGATTTGTGACTTTTTGCAGGGCTGTGTTGCTGTCTTCTTCAACAGCACTTGCTTGTTTAAAGAGCTTACTTTTTGTCTTGACTGCTTTGGCTCAGAGAACCTTCCGTATAGTTTTACTATATTTTTCATTTGTCTTTGCTTCTCTTTTTACAATAGTTTCTTCAGACACCCCATGCAGTAGCAGCTTCAGAATCAGGAAGGAACTTAGGCTGGAAACATATGCTTCTCTGTGAAAATCAGTTTAAAACAGCAATCATATTTTAGGCAACCTCTTCAAAGCACGTCACTTTCCCTAGTTTTTTTGGTCATAATCTCACATTTTTTTCCTATACCAATCAGCTACTGAAGTCTCTAGGCTGCATCATACTCAACTGCATTCAGGTAGGATATCCATTATAGAGAGAAGATGGCAATGAAATTGCTTCCTTTGATATGGCAAGTTGAATCCTGGTTTACCGCCATCCGATTTTGCAAGAGTATTTGCTTGATTTATTAAGTCCAGATTTCCCTTCTTTCCAGTTCATGTGAACTTGAGGAAGGTGCAGTGCATGTTAGCTGTGAGTGAATGAGGCTGAAAATAAACTCAAGAGCTGTCTTTGCCTTTTGCCTAGGATTGTTCGATTACATTAGTATCTAACATGCCCTGTCTCTGTCAGGAATCAGTATCATGTTCCAGCATACCAGTGCAATTTGTGATCCAATCAGATTCTGGTTCTTAGGGGAGGCTTTACCCTCCTTCAGCCTGCGGTCCTTCATCTCATGTAAGCAGACAGAGTGAATTGGCGGATAATTGATAAACATCCTTTTCTTGGTTTCCTTCTTAGGACTTTAAAGCTGCAGTGTTTTCACCAAGGAAAACAAAGGACAAATGTCTTCACAGAGGTATAAAAGTAACCTCAAGGCAGTATGATAATTCTGTTTTCTCAAGGAACTTTCCCATCAGAGGTCTTTGTATTCAACCCGAATCCTTCCTCATGACCCTTGTAGGACTGCAGAGTTCACGCTTTTCTTACTGGGAGTGAAGTGGAACTTCATCCACTTATCCCTTTCCTAAAACCAGAAGGATTCCTCTGTCTGCATCTTTTGTGCCATGTCTCTGTACAGTCTGGAGTTTGCCCAGACTCATCCCTTCTGCAGTGCTTCTCCATGTACCTGATTTTTATCATAGTTATTATTCATAGCAACGTCCTAACCAATGCTTTGGAAGTGCAGCTGGCTGTTTAATGCTAGCCGAGTTACCAGGCAAGCAGTGATTCTACTTCAGCCATGGTGATGATGTTGTCAAATTTTCTCCAACTAATGAGTCATTAAAAGTAGTAATAAAGGGGTTTGTTGGGGCCACATGTCCCTTAAAAACACTCAGCCCATGCTAGTTACAGTGGTCAATTAGCAAAGTGGTCAAGGCTGGTAAGTGTGTGGGAGGGGGCACAGAACAGGAGTTGCAGGAAATGTTGATTGTACAACTTGTTCACATCAGCTTTTCCTTCCACTGCAGGAAAACAAGAAGAAAAAAGGTTCATTTTGAACATACTTGTAAAAGTTGTGCTTTAGGAATCAAATTCCCGTGTCACAATGACTGGTAACATGCCAGAAATGTAAACCTGTGGTAAATAAAGAACTCCTCCGTGCATGGTTGGTTTAGTGTCATTGAAAGCTGGAAATAAGATTTTGCATGACTGGTGCAAGGCGAGTGCACAACTTTGGGTTTTCATGCTTCTCTCCCTTTCCCGCCTTGGCTTTCTTGTAGCAGCCACAGCAGCCTCCTTGTCTTGCAGGAACTGTGATGCATTTTTGCTGGTGCCCATGTTTACCCACTTGATAACTTTTTCTTTCCTGTTTTTCACTTATTTGGGAAATTTTATAGCAGTGGTGGTGGTCTTGGGTAGTAGTGTTCCCTGAGGTGTGAGCAGCATTCCTTCACTGCTGGAAATAGTATGTGAAATGGTATTCTTTAGAGACATCCTTTTTTCCTTATAAAATGAAAAATGAACATTTTAAAAGGCATCCCATACAGAGAGTGTGCTGAAGGAATATGAAGTGCATGGAACGTTCCCAGCTGCCTCCTCTGAGGATTTCTTCATCACTTGTGAATTAGAAAGCCCCTGTCAATAGGAGAGCTCTGTATGTCCTGTACATAGACTGTGTTAAGTGCTGAGCAGCCTGGGAGTGTTAACATCAGGAAAGCTCACTGAGATGATCAGAGTAACTAAACTGTATGGCAAAACTAACTTCTATAGCTGAGGAAATGCTCTGAGGCCCCGAGTGAGGAAGCAAACAATCATATCTAGAAGGAACACTCAAAGCACTGTGTCATGATGGTATTAAGGATGAATGACAGTGGTAAACATACTAATTTGTTTATAAAAACATAGCATTTTAGAAAAATACAGACAAGAAGTGATGCTATGAATAATTCAGCGCACTCAGTAACCATGTATTAATTACAAAACCCTGTAAATCTATTTTTTAGACTTGTGAACAGGAAATCAGTCTTCTGGTAAAGTTCCCTGTGAACAAGGTAAGAAGGTTACTGTGAATTTAGCCCAGATGCATAACTTTGTGTGTCATACAGGTAGCAGATTTTAAAAGGGAATCTATCTATAGGCAAATCATCCTTATATATAAACATGTGCTGACCACCAGTATGCAAGAAGATTGTGCCTAGAAAAATACTCTGATGTTTATATTTATTTAGCTTGGGTTGGGTTTATGTTTTTCACTCTATTACAGCATGTTTGCACAACAGTAAGGACACCCAGAGTTGATTATTGATGTTTATTGAATGATTCATTTCAAACACTTTTGGGAATCTCACCACAAAAGTAAAAGCATTCATTTGAGAGGAGAGACATCAAAAATCCTTCTTTGAAGAAAAGGATGTCTGCTTGTTTAATTTTTAAATGTCTGAGGAGAAGGCATGATTTTAGGTGGCATGACTCAAGTGTGGACACACCAGGGAGGGAGTTCTGCTATAGGGTGTACACAGTCAGGTTCACAACTTGCAACTGAGATGCTCTGGGATACATTAACACTTTACACTGTGCAGCCTCTTAGGTGAAAACGGGCTTCATGTGCCAGTTCCAAGTCAAACTATAAACTCAGTCATTTATTCTGTTCAAGTTGGAGCAGTTCCTATCTCTGTGCTTACTGTCTAGACATTGTAGCACACAAGGGTTCAGGTCTCATTAATGTATCATTTTCAATTGAAAACCTATCCAATTTAATTTTGAAACAACTCATGTATGTTGTTCTTTTTTTCTCCCTCTCCATTAATTTACTGATTTCACTGATGTGAGAAGAAACCATATAATTATTCCATTTTAGCAGCATCAGAACAGATATTTAATAGCCTGTTTTAGTAATTTGGAAATAGGAAATTGGACACACATAGTGGTATTTTTCTGGGGTCTGGGCCCATAAGGAAATAAGCACTTTTATCTTTGGATCCGGTGAGTTGGAGATTCTCAGTACTTGCCTGACCCATGCAACTGTCCCCCTCAGTCCCTTTAAGTGTGTGACAAAGCCATTAATGCACTGAAAGATGGGTGCAGAGGTCAGCAGCAGGAAGCAGAAAGGGAGTGAACAGAACTTTTTAGTGATCTGGCAGCTTACTTCACCAATGCAAAGGATACACAATGATTTTCTCATTCTTCTGTTTCACTCTCCCATGCTGATCTCTTTCCTGGGTGCTGACGTTTTTCTTTGCCAGCATCTTCTACTAGATCAAGCAACAAGCTGCCTTTGTTACAGTTGAAGGACTCCTGAAAGTTGCAGGGGCCTGCATCATCTGGGCTGTCAAAATTCCAGTGCTTTTTTCCAGGGTGCTGGTGTTTCTCACCATATCGATCATTTAAGTCTACCTCATCATTCCAGCCTCTCTTGCTAGGATGCTGGTGCTTGTAGATCAGATACCTTCTGCCTGGATGCTGTCTTTTGGATAACTCATTCAAGTAGGTCAGCTGTGAACTAGGGTTGTCAGCATCCTGTGCCAACAGTGACCTTCTGCCAGGATGTTGTCGCTTTTTCAGCTCCAGAGAGCTGTCAAGGTCATCTTCTGTCTCTCTTTTCCCTGGATGCTGCCTCTTCTGGATGTCTCCATAAGATGTGTCTTCCTCAACATCTCTTTTCCCAGGATGCTGTCTCTTCTCCAGCTCACTCAAGTACTTTTTCCCAAAGTGTTGTCTTTTGGAAAGCCATTCTGGCAGAGGCGCATTTGATTCTGTCCATGGAAAAGAATAATGTTAATGAGCCCCCATAGTCCTCACTAAGGTAGTTGAAATGGGAATTTGTGGAGTTGTATGGTGCAGGACCATTATCTGTTGCTCATTATGCCCATTTAATTGCAGAGGTAACTGCAAGTATGGTCTTAAATTTGGTCACTCCAGATAGCATCTGTTAAAACAGTTCTGGTACATTTTTAGCAAGGATGATTGACACACTAGGAACTAGCTGCAGCCAAATGGAAAGACATGCAATAATCAAGCCTAATGTGTTGATACAGGTAAATGTGTCAGATTCAGGTAAAGGGAGATGAGTAAAAGATGCTGAGCAGCTGGAAGAAATCAGCTGCAGAAGCTGCATATGGTGAAGAGCTGGAAATCAGCATGAGGCAGGGAAAAGATAGGTCTGAGACACAGGTAGAAGCGGGGATCTGGACACCTGAAAGCCAGCTCAGTATTTCCAGCTGCCAGTCATAATGCCATTAGTATCTCATGCTCATTCTTAAGCTCTTCTTAATATTTCAGGTCTTGGACCAACATAATCAATTTTCAGCATTCATGTGAAGAGGGAAGAAGGCTTTTTCTATGGACAAATGAGCCAGCTTGTTTTTCCACTCTGAAGGAGCTTTGTGCTCCTTGGTGGCAGGCACCTCTGTGCTGCTTCTTGCAGTCTGATTTGTTTCTGCTGCAGTGACTAGTGAGAGCAGAGCATCTGCAGACTAGGAGGAGCAGCCTCTGCATTCCCAGCCATGGAAAAGCCCGCCTCTGCTGGGGTGTAGGAACCACTGGGTTGAGGTTGTCGGGGAATGGTAGCACTCCCACCTCCAAATAAGATTAGCTATGGGGTCCACAACTGGGGAATGTCTTCCATGTGTCCTCTTAGAGCTTCCTTAGGGAAGTACTTACTAGACAAGCAAGTTTTCTGTGATGGGCTTCTACCTTTTTTATTATGCAACAATTGCTTAGTGATGGTACAGCATTGCATAAGCAGGGAGATCTTAGAGAACAGTGGCTTTTGGAAATTCTGTGTCAGTGTATCACAGCAGATCTCTTATCCTTCCCTTTCCCTTAGAGTAAGATATATATACATCAGAACCTGGGAACTATACATTGGATCGAATTATCTCAGGCAAGTACTGTGCCAGCAAAACTAGATGAGTGTCCCCAGTGTAATACATACCTTTATTAATCTCTCCTTCCTTTTCAGCTTTCTTGAAGACAGACTGGAGAATGAGGCTGTCAGATCTCTGCAGGATGTCATCCAGGGGACTTCTTCCCATGTTCTCACTTCCCTCTGGAAAGGGCGGCCTCTCCTTGAGGCACACACCACACAAGGTCAGGCAGAGGAGCAGCAGTGGCAGCTGGATAGATGCCATTGTGGGGTTGAGGGTTCCTGCAACTTTCATGGGCGAGAGAGCAACAGGGGAAGACAATGAAGCAAACAAACATAGCAATAACAGCAGCATTTCCAAACACTGAAAAAGAAACACAGCACTGCTGTAGGGATTCAAGGCTTATGAGGGTCCTTCCTCAGTTTTGTTACTAACCTCTCAGTTTGTTTTATATTCTTCAAAGAATTAAAACCAGGCACCCGGTTGTTTTTCTGGCAGAATAAATATGGACATTTTAAACACTGAGCTTCCTGATGCACACACAACTCTGAAAACTAGTGATTTCGCTTTGCCTTCTGCCACAAGGAAAAATTAATTTCCCTCTTGAACTCTGTGTTACCTGTTGCCCTGCATGAGTGAGGTACACACACATACCTCTGCGCTAACAATCTCCACCAGGCAATTCCCTTTGCTAAGGGTTCAGTTTAAACAATACTGGGATTTGCAGCATTTTCATTCCACCTCTAGTTAAAGCCCAGCTTTAATAGTCCATTAGTTTTTAATATCTCTTTCTGTATTTAAAGGAGCTGTGTGTCTGTGTATTTGTCAGTATTGTAAGAGCTACACACTCTGTTCGTCAGGGAGATTCCTTGCTTTGGGGAAGCACCTCATTTTTTTTAGTCATACCCTCCATTACCCCTTGCCCAGATAACAAATGTTTTTCTATTTCATCTAGCTAGCACTGGACTTCCTAATGCACTTACGGATTTATTTTCCAGTAAGCAGAGTTCCTTCAGTAGAATGGAATATGTCTTTAATACTAATATAGCTGTCATTGAGCTTAATTGTATCTTCAGAACATAAAAGAAATGCACAATCTTATAAAGTTCTAGAAATTTTTAGAATAGAGAATGAATTTATTACCTCTCTTGATGGCAGGTTTCTATCACTTCTGATGAAGTCCTTCCATAAAAGCCCTAAGAGTATCACATAGGCTATTTTGCTCAGAGCAATCTTTAGACAGAAAGTTAGAATCAGCTAAAAAGGAAATGATTTGGTAAATTACCTGGTTTGTAGTTTCAGATTTTTGCTTGATGCATCTGCCAAGAAGAGGTTGCTTAGTCCCTTAAAGCTGTTTGCACATCTGAGCTCCAGACTTGCCCTTTTTCTGCTACAGATACACGCAGTATCCAATAGAACTGTTGCTAAGTTCTCTTTGGATAGCTTGTGTCTCTGTTCTTATACTGTACTGCCTCTGGACCCTTTATGCAAATAGCTGTGAGGTAATTTGATGTGATGTGCTGTTTTCAGGGTTTTTTGCTGATGTCAGAGTTCTGCATTTTGAATGCATTTTAAAACTCTGATAGTTATTTGCTGACCTCTGTATACCCATGCTCCAATCCCAGAAATGCTATTTTTCCATTCTTTAAAGAGATTATGTTGAATTTTTGATAACACAGCATAGAGAAAATGAAGTTTTTCTCTTAACTGAAAGAAGCTGGTATATTCTCTATTAAGGAAGCACTGTGGAGTAAATGCAGAGAGGCAGGCAATTTATTAAGGAAGAAAACCAATGAAAAATTTTAATGGATTGTATTTACATAAGTTTATACCACTGGTTCTTGTTCTGAATGACAGTTTTTGGCTCACAATTCTGTATTTTCTTGGTATAGGCTTCCATAAACAGTACATTAGACTATGGGGTGCAAAGCATTAGGTATTAAAATACAGTTATGTTGCTGCTATGAGTTTCAAAAAGCATTATACTATTGTAACTAGAAATAAGACTCCTTCTCTTTAACCTGTCTATTTAAGGTATTCTTCCACACAGCACTATTAAAAACAGACCATGCAGGGGCACAGATAAAGAGCTAGTGATTCTTTGATAACCTTAGTGATCCTGATGACAATACGAAGGACTACAACTGGAGTACAGACTGCTCACAGTATTGCAGCAATTTGGGACTTTTTTATTGTTGCTGCATGGAAGATTTCAGCCAAGTGTGGAGTCAGTGGTTTTCTGCTTTCCCATTTACTACCATTGTCATGAACACAAACCACCTTTGTATGTCCCTCTCATCACTGCCATCGAAGTGTTTCAGTTAAAAGTTGTAGTCAGCAGTAGCTAGTGACAAAACCCAACAACTTGTCACCATGGCTTGAGAACACCTTTCTTGGCAGGACACTGCTGTGTTTGCAGCTCTCTAGAGTGCTGTGCCACAGCCTCAGACAGAAGGCATCTGGGGAATACTCTTGAAAGCTCTGCATTTTATTTTTTTTTTGCTTGGGCAGACTTCTGGGTGTCTGACCCCTGGTCAGAACAGCAGTAGTAGCTCCAAACTGGCTTCTAGACATTGTAGATGAGTTCCTGGTTACCAGTACAGGTGTTCTACATAGCATAAAAATGCATGTAGACCCCTCATTCCAACAGGTAGGGGCTAGGGATTCCTCTTCTCTTAGGGATACCCACTATGCCAGAATGAATAAGAGTGAATAGGAATGAATCCAATGCTAGGTCAGAAATCCTACACTGTTTCGTACACTGCTCAGGGATTCCTTTCCCCTAGGAGACAACTCAAAGGGAATGTTTTCTGAGCATTTTGGATCCAAAAGTCAGGCTCAGTAAAATACTGCAGGGTGTAATTTGGCTTGTATTCTCCTTCATTTTACAACCATAATTTCATCAAAGAAGTTCCCTTATCTGTTGACAGAAATAGAGTGCCGAAGATTACTCATGGAAGCACAAGAAGAGAGGTCAGTCTCTTTCCATTCTCATTAAAATCTGCTTCTTGACACCTTTGGCCTGAGGACTTCACCAGGGATGAAATCCTGTGTTACAAACTACATCTCTCTGGAAAGCTTCTTAGTAGGTGCAAAGTTATATCCACAGTGCAATGGTCAGGACTTTCAGCCAAGCATCTGGCACTTTGCTCACTTATTTGTGTTCTATTTTGGACTGATTTAGTAGCTCTTTAATGCTTTGTTTAAACGGAGAAAGTTAAATTTAAGCACCTCAGAGGGTCTTTTTCTCTTATGAACGATAGCCTTTTCCTATTTCACAGCTGGAAAACTGTCTCTGTTTAATATGTTATCTTTCTTTTTAGAATTCCTTTTGGCTTTTTTGGCCACATTTTTCCTGTTTCATTTTCCCTGCAGGCAATTTTTCTGTTTAAAAGATTTCTGGAGGTTTATTTTAGAATTATTAATGTCCTTTCTTCCCACTCTCTACACAATTATTCATGACACAGACTTGAATTCATGGTTAGGAGGGAGAGTTTCTTTTCTCAAATTCCAGAACCACCTTCCAAGCTGTAGTTTTCTGTCTGCCACAAACCTACTGACACCCCAGACTTGCCCAGAGCTTGTCTCAGCACAGGGTTTGGCTCCCAGCACGTATCTGTCTGTTGCTGATTCTAGAATTGCACAGAGATGTCCAGCTATCGTACTTCAGCCCAAAATACCTAAATATATTTCAGCACCGCTGTGATCCACATCCCCTTTACCCAGCCACTGTTTTTTATCACAGGTGCTTCAAATCCCTTGAGCTTCTTTATCAGTTCTGTTGATGAAGTTCCTTATTTTTCTTTACAACATTCTCAAGGGCACCCCAGCTTCTGAAAGGGCTTCTAAATGGAGAAACAAAGAGACAGACAACTCCAAACCCAGAGCCTTTTGTGTTCCTCCTCTTCCAGCCTGCATGTTAGCTTGGATTGCTGGTTCAGCTTGCTCTCCACAAGCACAGGAGCCGGGTCCTCTACTTGTCCTGAGTACTTGTCCAGCTCAGAGTCAGTGCTCCTAACACTCGGCCTTACGTCTGTCACTGGGCACACAGTTCTTGGTCCCTAAAATCTTGAAGGTGAATAATGAGAAAATCTGCTGCTAACCCAAGCCTGATCTCTGTTTTAAGGAATATAAACAGTTGTGTTTTGTGCAGTCAGTCAACCATGACAGCCTGGAGTTAGGCAGAAAGTTCTCCCTGGCAGATTTCTGCATTTTTATGTCTTCCTTGGGATACTTTGCTGTGGTCATGGTCAGAAATGGGAAACTGAAGTATAGTCACCCCTCTAAGAGTCATGGAATGTAGGAGTTGTTATGGAAACAGTTCTTCTTGAGCTATAGGATAAAAAATACTGTTTTGTGAAATGAATGTGCCTCCTGCCATCATAGTTGTGTTACCAGTTTCACTGAGAGGTGCTGAATGTTTAAGTGCTTTGCTCTGGGTCACAGAGCTGTAGTGGCATGGTCAGGAAGGGAGACCAGAATCCATTTGCTTTTCTTCCACTCACTTAGCTTTCCCTTATTAAAAGAGCATGGTTTTTTGGTAATACAACACAAGACACATCTTTCTCATTTAAAAGGTTGCCTCAGAGAAAAAAGGTTGCCTAAGAGAAATCTCTCCACCAGCTACTTAAAGCATCCCGTAATTCTTATTAAGAGTCCACTGTCCCTGGAACTATTGTTTCCAGCATCTCCTCTCTTTAACTGATTTTATCCTCTTGATTATTTACTGAATTCTGGTTTTTGCAAGGACTGCAGATCTCAGCTGTTCTGTCTGAACTTCCTCTTGGAGATAGTGTTGTTGTAAATAAGGAAGGACTTGTTTGCTAACAGAAATGAGAGGCAAATCAGCTCTTCTGTTTTCTTGGGAAAATCTAAAATCACAGCTTATTTATGCCACTCCTCCCACTTCATTCCTTAACTTGAACTAATCAGGAAGAAAATAAGGGAGATGGGTATCAGTAATAGGTGAACAACTCTCTTTCTGTGTGATCCTTTATAAAATGCAGCTTCTCGTGTATCCGAATATGTAAATAGTTCCCCCTGCAGGAGGACATACTGTATTTTAGTGAGAGGTAAAATTCCTGCTTCTCCTCGTATTGATTTTAATAACATCAGAATGCCAGAGTGGACACAGCCACTATGATCTTTATATAGTCCCTATTATTAGACCAATAGTATAGTTTTGCAAGGCAGGCAAGCTTTCAGGGATACAGACCTTTCTTAATGCTGAGGAGAGGCATTTGTGTCTGAAAGTTTGTTTCTCAGGACTAAAAAAGAACTTGCGATGCCCCAGAATTGTCAGCTTTTTGCATGATAGAAGTGACTATAATAAAAGGTGTATTTTATTAAATATTAATCATTTCTGGGGGCAGGGTTCCAAACAATTTGTGTCTACCTAGTCCTCAAAATTTGTTTGCTAAGTAAATGGGCCTAGATAGTGTTTAGTGGGTTTAATGACACACAAACTCTGTTTGGAAGTGCAGTTGCTATAGTCACAGCCAGCACTAGCGTACGTGAGCCCCTTTGTGGCTGACATGCCCAGCGAGAGGAGCTTCATATAGCCAGCAGCACAGCATGTCACAGCCCAGGTGGCCTGTTGTGATTCGTCAAAAACCAAAACTGTTGAGGACTAATAGCACTTTTTTTTCCATTCATTTTCAGTCATTGGTTATATACAATCCAGGAGGGGAAATGAAGGCAACTCCTGTCCTGTGCTCTCTGTTCAGCTGAGCCCCAGCTGTGATGCTTCTGCTGTTGCATACTGCAAGCACCTGTGGTGGGAAATACTTGTGTCTGATGTGAGCTCTGAGGCCTTTTGGGGGTAGCTGCTAGTTAAAGCCAGGTGAATGAGCTGGCCTAGAGAATGGGCTTGAAATCATGAGGAGCCCTGCTGGCTAATGCTGAACATCACTTGAAACATGACCTGAAAATGGTGACAAACAACAGTTCAGGGGCGATTTTGAAGACTGTAACTTCCAGTTGACACCCTCTTTCTCAAAAATTCCAGAAAAGGCAAAACCTTCTTCTCTAACTGTAAGCCCCAGAGTTCTGTAGTTTTGCAAACACAGACTTGTTGAAGCTTAATCTTTTGAATTTGTTTAAACTAATAGAAAATCCCTTGAGGAAACTTAATGTAGGAAGAGATTAAGTCTTCTGTTTTAAATAATGAATAGGATGAGTATTGAATGAGATGAGAACATTAGTTTCTGTGTGGGGAAGCTCTTAATAGAATTACTGAGTAAATTCCACGTGGAATGCACACAGCTCCCATCACCAGTTTAAATCCATAAAGGCCAGGGAAGGCTATTAAATTAGAGGAAAGGGGAAGTATCCCACATAACATTAAAACTGTTGCCAAAAGTATAACTTGTTGCTTATAACAGCTGAATTGTTTTATAGTTTCATGAGGAAGCAAAGCCAAAGCATTATGACAATAATCCCACATACTGGTTTACTGACAGACTTTTCAATATTAAACAGCATATTATGGAGCCAGAACTTGACAGACTTAATTGTATACTTAAGAGTCAGCCTAACTCACAGTTTGTTCCTTGTGGGATGGTGGCAGTTTGAAATTAAAGATCTCAATGGATTCACAGTAATGTTTCTTTATTTTGTCATTATCTCTGCAGTGTTTATGCAGGGTCATTTCTAGAGCTTTCTAGTCAGGAGAGTCCTGCAATTTGGGAATAAAGTGGCCATCTTCAGAAAGATTACCACTGTGCCCTCTCTCTTGTTTCAGGCACAGTCCAGGGTTTTTCCAACCAAATAATGTCACTTAATGAAACAAGCAAGACCCTGTGTCTCCAGGCACCAGAACATCCCAGCTGCTCAGCCTATTGTTATTTCCCAGCTAATGACAGCACTCAGGAGATTCTTGTTCACTTCCAACAGGGAATTAGTCATTGGACAAAGCAAATTTACAGCTTGATATACCTTGCAAAAATACTGGTTTTAAGCTGGGGCAAGTTTCATGATGTAGCAAGAAGATATTCAGGGAAATTTGATTTGGTATGATAGAAATGGTGGTCATCCAGCTTCCTTTTAAGAAGTAAGTTTGATTCATGCTGTCATGTACCTTGCAAAGTCAGTTGGAGGCTTGTAAATAGGAAGTCACTACTTCCCATGGCAATTAAAGGGATAACATGATAATTTGTTTCCTCTATCCTGTTTCTTTGCACTTGCTCCTAACACATCCTCATTATGATAGACAAGCCATAACTGGGTGTGAAAGGGAGCAAACTTGTGTGAGGGAGAGAAGAGCTGATAAGAGATTTAGTGTTTGGTGCATTTGAAAATGCTGCTTTGGAATTTGAAGTCACCAGTCCTCAGCTTGCGGCTAGTTCTCCTGTCAGGTTCACTGGGAGCAACCAGCACAGAGCACGTTTGAAACCCCACCTGCCAGTCCCTGCTTGTTCAGAAGTCAAAGGTACAAGGCTCAGAAACTCCTGAAATCTTGACATACATAGTGCTTGCCCAACAGTCAGAGACCACGGTGGGAGCACAAATAAGATGAAGTAAAAGCAGCGTGAGAAGTTCTAGAACTGGCCCCTGTGGCTGGCTGTAGAATATCTTCTTCTTGAAATTCAGACTTTTCTATTGCAGCTTTTAAAATGTAAGAATTTTATTTCTTATTGTTGCTTTCAGTTGCTGTAAAAGACAGCTGTTCATCTGCATAAATTATTCAGTAAAGTGACCTCAAGCCTTGCTTAAAGGATGCAGTGCAAATATGATTTGCCTTCAAGTTGTCCATATTGGAACTGTGGCCAGTAGCATGACTGTGCCAACGAGGCAGCTGCATCAGTGCCTACCTATACACAGCAGCCAGGAGCAGCTGTTCTTAATGGGGGTGCCACCTGCAATCAGGTGTAGAGAGGAATTCTGAATAGTGATCTGGTGTTACTAACAAAGTTAATCTCAGACGTCAGCCATATCGGCTTCTCTGGTTGAAACAGGTAACATTTACTTCAAGTGTTCTCCTCTGTTATTTCTCTGTACCTGTGACTATGCATATGCACTTTGTGTGTGCTTTTTACTAATGAATTGTTACTAACATTTTCATGTGGCTTTATTGTACTTAGTGGTTACTAAGTTATTTGGTCAGCTCATTTTATGAGGAGTTAAATTTGCTTACCCTGTGGTATTCTTCCTGCAGTAAGATTAGTCATTTTATCTTTTAGGCTACAAGCTTTTAAAGAGTCTTGCAGCACATCAATGGTCAAGGTCAGAATCCCATTATGGTAAGTACTATAAAGAAGTAGAACTGAAACTGTCCATCCCAAAAGAGTTAGAATGAAGTGCAGTTATGTACATGCATCTATATATGCATATATACATACACCTTCATAGACCTACACCTACCAAACATATGTTTGTATGTATATATATGTATATACACATGTGGGTGTATGAACTGATTGAGCAAGTGAGAGGATGCAATAATTACATCAGTTGTGTTGAACATAAATATGTTGTTTCAAGAGCTTTGGTAGCTGTAGATCATCATCAAGCTCATCAGGGCTAGGTTACAGTGGATTTGTAAGCTTTGATGCAGTGTTTCAAAGGGACTTGGAAGAAAGAAGACAGTCATTTTATCCAGGCAAGTATTTCTTCCCCTGTGTAAGGACAAGCTTATAAGAAAGCTGGTCACTTGGTATTACCAGCAGGATGAAAACAACCAGAGTTTTTGCTCTTCTGATTCCAGCATGGACCATTTATGGGAAGGTCTTAGCAAACAGTAGTGATACAGTCTACAGTTTCTGGTACTGTCTGTTAATCCCACTGTCTCTGTGAAGCATGTAGCAAAGAGAATAGTTAGGGCCTTTTTATTTCTTTCACTTGCACTCATCACTAATGGCACCAGTGAATGTGGAATCTCTTACTTAAAATTCAAGCCTTCACTGTATCAGTATGGATTAGTGGCTAGAAATCAACTAGGAAATTCTACAGTTTGTACTTGGTTAATCACAGAAGCCACCAGAGATCTAATGCAGTGCTGAAATGTGCACATTATGTAGCGCACAGTAGATCAGCAAGTCTCTTCTTTGGAGGGTTGAGTGAATTACCTGGTTAATGAGGGAACTTGAGAGTCCTCAGTTTAGAACTGTTCCCCTGTCCATCATGCATAGTCATTTTCATGGAGCTTGATACACAACAGAGACTTTAGGGGGAGGAAGACGATCACCACAACCAGTCGTTCAAGTAAGATGATTTTCCTGTTATGCTACCAGCTACATAATGACGAAGACCTTTATGTTATTTGCATCTTTATAACTTTCATAGTCATTGTAATAACAATAGGCTTCTCCACTGGTGCTTAAGGGTTCATTTAAAGGAAACAACACTGAGAATCAGTGGGTATTCGGATGCCATTTGGGGGCAGAGATTATAATTAAAGCTGTTTGATAGGCCAGATATTGGATATCATGCTTTATGGGACAATAAAGACATGTACGTGTCTGGTGAGGTATATGCTGAGACCAGGAGTAGTACTGGCTTTTAGAAGGGTTCTGTGATCTTCTCATGTCTTCTTCACATCTGCCCAGCTGGCACACTGTGCATCCCAAGGGAAGCTGAGTGAATGAGCATGTAGCACTGGAGTAAAAGTTTCTTGAGTCATTTGATACCTGCTTCTGCTGAGAAGACTGTGAGGCACAAAGTCTCTGTGCTTCTCAACTCTTCTGTCACCCTGTGGGCCTTTTCAGCAGAGCCTGAATATGAACAAAGATACATTTTAAAGCAGTTAGAGAATGGTTTGCAGATGCAAACTGCAGCAGCTGGTATATTTTTAAGCACCAAGCTGAGAGGCCACATGGTCATTTGGTTAGAATGGAGTCTGAGAACTGGGACAACTGTATTCTATTTCTGTCTCTCTCAGTGAATTGCTCTGTGTCTCTTAATGGTGCATTAACGCAGAATTCCAACTGTAGTTATAAAGTGAGGCTTTTCATACATGGTATCTGAAATTAGGTGGACCCTTGAATACTTGAGGTTTGTGTTCCCTATCCACAAATAAGTGATAGTAATATACTACAGTGACTTTATATGCTCGTGACATGCTTTGAAAGTCTCAGATTGTGACAAAAGAAGTCAAAAGTGTTGTTAATAGTTGGGTTGGAGTTTTTTTAGGAAGCACGTGGAATTCACCAAGCCCAGTGGGCCTGGTGTGCAAATTTAAGTCAAGAAAATGGTAAGTAGAAAAGTTGTGTTTGATTGGACTCCAGTGAAGCTTTGGTGGGACTGTTTGTAGTATGAACACTTTTCTTGGCCCACAAATGATGATGTTGTTGCCTATCCTGTTAAGTGAGCAATTTCACATGATTCTTTCTACGAACCAATAATAAGCAGTTTTCTCCTCCAGATGTCTTTATTTCCTTGTCTATAGCTGTAACCATATTTGAAACATTCTGTGTTGGCACCTATATGGTATGATGGAATTTTTGAATGCATTCCTGGAATGTCTAGTGATGGTCTTCATATCCTTGAACGCAGAGATAGCTATAATGCATTGGTGATTTTCAGCTTGTGGTACACGACAATGCAGGGTTTAGAACAACTTCAAAGGGAAAAGTCATTGATGAAATCAATCCCTTTGTTAAACTTGCTCGGTGATGATCTGTAGGTTACCTAGAAGATGCTTGTAGATCTAGAAACTGTTACAAAAGAAGTAAAGCAACTATAAAAAGTAAGAAAATATTCTTAGAAATTTTTTAGACCTTCATTTCCATGACTGATTCAGAAGCATCATGGGAGATGTGGAGTTAAACGTTTCATAGCACTACTTTGTAGCTATTATTAAAAAATGTGAGCCACCATTTTGGCATTTGAAATGGCTTATCAAGAACAAGATGCTGATAGACTTTTTAAAATACTTTCTGGAAGATCTCAGCAATAACTTGTAATTCTTTCTGAGCCTCCACAGCTCATGTTGAGTGAGCAAAGCTCAAGTTTTATTGCACGGAGAAATGATGGAAATGCCAAGGATTGCCTGATAAACAGACAGTGCCATTGATCATCCGCTGTACTTTATAAACACAGTACCTTTGTCATTTGAATAACAAGTGATCTCTAAGCCAACACCACAGTAAATCTTACTGACCTTTTACAACTACTTGTGCTTTATTGAAAAACAGTAACTCCATCTTCATTAGAATCACTTTCAGTTCTGTATGATGCCAGGTACTGAGCGAAGTAGCTGTATAAATACATACTTGCATAGGAAGGAAGAAGGCATGTAGCACTTTACTTGAAGGTACATAGATAGCACTGGTCAGTACAGCCTGTTAAGGAGGAACCCAAAACCAGTGCTAAACTGATACCAAGTTAACGATACCCACATCTGTGAGTGTGTTGCATAGTTCAGCTGGAACTGGGTTATATTGAGCATCTCTCATCTCCAGTTTGCTTCTGTCAGTGATGGGAACCTCTGAGGTAAACCAGTATCTGATAACACAGTAAATCACAGCAGACTTAAATTGCAAAGTTATTAAGTCTTACTCTTTGGTAGGTGCAGACCACTTAATGACAAGGTCAGTGATGGATTGTAGTAGAGAGTTTGGGGACCTCACAAGGTAAACCAGCATCTGATCACAAAATAAATCATGGCTTATTCAGGCTTCCTGCTTCAGACTTGTGACTACATGGTGTTATTGTTTGGACCTTCCTAGTATTATATTTTAGCAGTGTGCAGGACTACAACAGCTTTGTTACCACTAATTTCTATTGTTCAGAGTTTGCAACTGCCTGGCAAATTGACAACATAAAAAATTAAAAACAGATTAATGACCACAAATTGACAGTTATGTCATGAAATTTTCAAAGGTTTCTCTTTCCCATCTAGACATAGATGAAGTAGCCAGGTTTGCTGAAGTACTCATTGTCTTGGCACTTTTGTCTTCTGAAGATCTGACAATGCATGTAACAGTGTCAGCCTCTAGGTGCCAGGTATGTCTGAACAATGGTACCCTCTTTCTGGGTGTGAGAGTGGAAAGAGAGTCCTATTACAGCATGTGAATCAGCTTCAGCCCTTGAGGAAGTACAGAGCTAGAGGAAGTACAGAGCTAGAGTAAGTCTGTGATTTTATCAGAGTTTAGGTGCTATCTCCATGAAACTCAAGTGAAAAGATCAAGTTAAATGAGTGATGTTGTATTATCTTGTTTGGTATCGCTAGAGGTTGCTAAAGGTCTTTGGTTATTTAATGTTTTTCTGCTTCAGAAAATACATTAATGTCCTTGATCACATCTGTGCTGCAAAGGCACTGAGATAAACAAATGACTCATGAAGTGACTGCCTATTATTTTTTCTGCAATACAGAAGCTAAAAAATGAAGTCGACATTTAGTCTGAAAAGAAAGTTTTGTTATAGTGGTGCTAATAAACTAACAGTTTTGTGAAGTTTTGAAGATTCTGGAAGAAGTTTCCTCACAAAGAAATCTCATTGAAGAATGTTCACTGGATGCTACAGCAATTGGTAAATCTTCTATTTTAAATTGGCAGCAGCAATGTTTGATAGCCCAACAAAACCAAATTTCACCCTATCAATATTCCCTTGATTTCAGGTTCAAGACTGAATCAGGGTTGCAGTTGAGGCAATAATTTCAGTGGAGTTACAGTATGGATGAATTTACCTGATTTTTTTTTTTTAATGAAGATATAAGATTAAATAGAGCGATACTCGAAGATCGGTTTGGGTGTTTTGTTTTGGTTTTTGCTTATGACTAGGAAATAGTCTATTAATACTTTCTGGGCCAGTCCAGTAAATTTTCTATCTGGTCAACAACAGCAACTCCTCAGTTCAGTGGCATTTCTTTCCAGAATCTGGCCACCAGGTCACAGTCATCAGGCAAGACCATTCAGCAGGTGTTAAAAACTGATTATTAGGTTCATCCGAATAGTAATAATTCAATTTGAATAAAACTGTGAGAAATTAATAAGATGCAAAATAAAATGGCAATCAAATGTGAATTTAACCAACCTTACCACTTAAAACATGTTTTACAGATTACTGCTAAAAGGACACTCTTCATGAGGGTGTGCAGTGTCACACAGACCTTACCAAGCAAAGGGATTCAGCAATCCTGGGCGTTTCACTGTCGCACAGCTCCTGCCTGGCAGGGCAGTCAAATTGCATCTCCGTTCACACAGGCTCAACCTGAGACTTGTGAATGCGTATATATTATTTAATCTATTTTAATTTAATTTAAATTAATTTAATATTTAATCTATTTTAAGCTACCACTTAAAAAGAGCTACCAAAATAAATGTACATAGCATGGTTTTGGGAATCCTAGGAAAATTTGCTATAATTTACAGTTTATAATTTCAAATTATCAAAATATTTGCCAAACATGTCACTATACATGGAAGCTAAGGATTAATATTTGGTTCATTCCCTCAAGAGTAAATGTCCCTTTTACCTGCATTACTGTAGACCAGCCTTGCAGTTTCTGCTCTGCAGTGGTAGTTAGACAAACATCCAGGAGTAGGAATCTGCATGGACAGCCCATCTATATGCTGTGCACCAGCCTCCAGTCAGGGGGATCAGCACAGCTGCATGAAAGCATCAGCCTTATTCCTGTGCTGCCTGTCTCAAGGAATGGGGGATGTGAGCAGCATAGAAGTGTGTTTACACAAATGCTTGCTGTGAGTGGAAAACAGCTCTTAACACTTCTGTCTTGTTCTAATGGATAGCACACTATGACCATCTTAATGTTCACTGTTTTCAGGACCTAATTACTTCTGCATAATACATTCATTTGAGGATTTAATTTGCTTTTAGATTCCAGTGATGGGAGCAGCATTTCTGAAGTCAGTTTCCAGAGACACTTAGGTTTCAACCTTCCCAAATGTTGGCATAATAATGGTTTTCTGCCCATAAAGATGGAAGGGGCTTTTACAGGTCTCTGCAGCTAATCTGTGGAGCTACTGTGAAATGTCCATACATGAGGATATTCTCTAAGGTGATTATTCTCCAGAGTCTTTGCAGATGCTTCTAACTAAGCAAAGTGACTGGGCCTGCACTTTTTCATCTCAATTCAGTGGCAATCCTCCTGGTTCTCGGGAGCAATTTTAGGCTTGACTTCTTCCAACTCTTATTTTTCATTCCAGCAATGTTGACACAAGCCCTGCAGCCTGTCTAGCAGCAGGGACAGAGCAAAAATAACAAGCACTTTCTGCTTTTAAATTCAGAGATTCACACATCCAACCAAGGAAAAACAATCAATGACTATTTAGGTGTTTCTGCCTGAACAAGATGTCTTTAAATTAAGTCTTGCTACTTGTCATACGAGACTTGAAAATAAGAACACTCTGACTTCCTAATTCAGCCACTAAACAGCAAAGAAGGAAGTTTCATTGGGTTGTTTGGCCAGGTGACAGGCCTTGTATTTCCACCAGGGTTCTTTGTCGGGGAAGTGTTTTTCCTTAGGGTATCTGTCACAGTGAACAAACTACCTTTAGGGAGCATAGGGACTGAGGAGAAAATGAAAATACTCAATTTATGACCTTGTAATTAAGCAGCAGTTAATTCTCAGATTACTATCTTGGTTCAAGGAACTCATTAGTTTTAGAACTAATTGCTGGTGCAAGGGACAGAACAGAGTCACACAGCTGGAGGCATAGGGAGGGTAGAATTGGGGCAGCCTGGTTTTAGACCAGCATCAACTGGGTCACTATTAAGCTTAGTCATATCTAATTGCAAGTAATTGTAGAAAAATATAGTCTCATTCCTCTTTTTTCCTACCCATGCCATATTCTTGCTTGCATAAATTGTAGGGATTGCCCCAGTGGATCTAACTCAGAATACTGATCAGATAGATCAAGAACTGTCAGAACTTCTTGGCACAGGGTTAGACATTCCTAGGACAAAGACTGAAATATTTACTCTGCCTTCATCCTGATGTGGTAAGACCTGCTTCTCGGTGCCAGTAATTCTAGGATTGCAACACATCGTGCTGTTGATCTTTGCTTATGTTGACAAGGGTCAGCTGTAACCTGCTTATTTAGAAAAGAAAGATCCCAAACATTTATTTAATTACCACTTGCCAGAGAGAATTCCAGGGCCTCTGGGGCCACCCTGTGACATTGCTCTTCTCAGGATGCTTCCAGGTAGAATTGGAACACAACTCAATTTGGTTTAACTATGACAAGGTAGTGGAGTGTGGAGTAAATATTATTGTTTCATTAGCAGTTCTGCATTTAATTTAGATAGGAGTTTCTGCACAAATGAGAAACTGTTGCACTTGTTAATGATAGCACCACCCCATGGAATAACTGTACCCCACAGCAGACACTGACTATGTGGATGAGCCCTGCAGAGTGCTCAGCCCCTGAGGCGGGGAGGAAGGCTGAATGAAACAGATGCATTGGGAGCACATCTCACGGAGCCTTCAGGTTTTCGTTGGCAGCAGGAAGTATCTTTTCTGATTCTCTCTTTGGCAGAGGTCACAGCACGTGTGGGCAGTTTGTAGCCAGACTTCTGCCTGCTCTCTCTTGTTCCTCATCCACAGACAAAGTGGTGACCAAGCAAGGCCAGTGACTGTTGAGCCAGAACTCTGTACTGGCAGGAGACAGTTACCTTTCAAACTGGAGTGCCTTTGTTTTTATGTACTAAGTTCAGTGTGGGAGCTGCCTCTTCTGAGCTGATAAACTCCCTCTTGAAGCTGTTGTTATCAGGCATCTGAAAACATCACACCAATTGCCAAGTGCTGTTTTATTTAACAATCTTTGTTTTATCAGAAGAAAGTCTAAATTCTCTTCATGCACTGCTTTTTCTACTTTGATAACAACATCCCATTTGCAATTGTAGGGTGGTTCAAACACAGAATTTCAGAGAGCAGAAAGACTGTCACAAATCTGACAGAATCATGGACACAGAAACGAAAACATCAGCTTTGCAGTAACTTTGTTATGTGAAATTCACCCCTAGGGAATAAACCAGTACTTTCCACTTTCTTCTCTGGTGGGTCAAATGCCTGTTTCTTTTGGGTTTTAATTAAAAGTTCCTCTATTAATCAAGCTGTTATTGTGTTGTGCTCTTGATAATTGTTGAGCAGAGGATGGCAGGCATAGGAATTCGCTTGTGTGTAGGGAGATTACAGAACAATTTGTAGGGATGCCACTGGCAATCTCAGCAGCTCACAGCACAGCTTGTCATACAGTACTGTCTTAGACCAGTGGTCCATCAAATCCAATCCCTTGCCTCTAGCATTGCACAAGATGTGTGGTGTATTTTGCTCAAAACCATTAACACTCTTCAACAAAAATGTCTTAGAAGAGAAAAATTAAAACAGCCATAGTGGCAATACATGACAATGTCTATTTCTCTCCCACTCAAATGGAATTTTCTAGTCAACAGACTTAGTAAAAGCTTGCCTTCATCCCAATGCCTATCCTCCTACCCTTTGGCTTCCTTTGAACATCTGTTGAAACAGATGTCTCCTGCACCATAACCAGCCAGATACATGGACTGTGGTCCCAAAGACTGAGCATAATTGAAAGGTGAACATGTGAATATCCTGGCAGTAGGCTTCTTCCACTTTTATCCTAATAGTGATGGTAGCTGTATGAAATAATGCAGGGGTAGAAGTGACTTCTTAACAGGAATGGAAGATACGAGTTGGGCATTATATACCAAGGTCTTACTGTTGTAATACTTGTATATTCATGCAGCGAGAGAAGAAATGGTGAAACTATACATTATCCACATTGTGTGGCTCACCTTTTCAGCAGGGCTTCATCCAATCTTTTTTGCTTGGATGTCTCATTACAGCTACTGGTTCTGACCTGAAATAAACCATATGCACTAGTAGTAGTAATTAAAAGCCTTAAAAAAAAAATAAAAATCTCTTGGACCTCTTACTCATTTGAGCCACAGAAAAGTTGCTGCCAAATTGCTCTCATAAATATCGAAAACTTAAATCTGGTATGGAAATAAGAGCCCAAGTGATTAAGAACTGATTTGCAAAGCAAGGATTACAAACTTGTTTGTTTTCTCACACCTGCTCTCCACTTCAGCAGCACAATGAAGCAAGGCGTATCCAATGCACCTTTTCCTAATTGGATAATGCACTCAAGGGAATATGATCAACTGAGGCTTTTAGGATCACACCACCATTTGCCCAATTATACCTAATGACAACACATTGTTCCTGCAAAATGCGTCTTTATTCCTTGATAGGTTACGTTTCCTTTCAGCCTTTTGTCTATTGATACAGCAGTACCTCATGCAGAACAAACTTTGCTGGCAAGTCTTGCTTAATGAGATCAGAAAAATCTTTTGTGTCATCTTCTTAATGTCTGACCAAGTCAGTGAGGAAAAAAGCTTGTTGTATGAGGCATGAAAAAATTTAGCTATCTTTGTAAAACAAAGCAATAAACAGAATGGCTTGGGCTATACCCATAATTTATGTTCTGTGTTAACTATTTCTTTGTGTACTTGCTGCTTTGATTTCATAAAGCATCTTCAATTATGTGAAGAAGGTGCCTACACTACATAGCACTTGGAGTAAATGATAGTTTTAATCTGGGACTCCAAGTAGGTGTGTGTATATATATATATATATATATATATATACTCCATTACAGAAAATAATGTGCTTGTTGAGCAAAGCTGCAGCATCATGAAGCTTGAGGCATATTTACCGCACTCTTTGTTTTGTGGAGGTGAAAGGGCTTGAAGAAACCTGATGAAATGATGTATCCCCAAATAAAACATTTTAGTGTCTGTCCTCTGAGCATTCGTGACTAGAACTGCCAGGCTGATGAGGACAGGCAAGGCTGGATTCTGATCGTTCTCACAAATTGTCTCCTAGTTATTTTTACTAGTTGTAAATGGCAACAGAAGAAATAAGTTTTTCAACATGCAGAACCATTGTGTAACGTCACAGTTGCTAACACGAGCTCACTCCCATCATTCAGTGCTTTCTAGTTCAGTCAGCCTCAACCCACTGCTCTGGTCTTCAGACCCTTGTCTAAGTGAAAAAAAATGCATCCTTGCCCTTTCCAAAAGTAACCCTGATCTATGGCCAACCCTAACTGCCAGGTAGTTCCACTGCCAAGGGAATAGTTTCAGTATTGGCCAATACAGTACTTCTGTTTTCAGCAGTTCCCTCAAAAGCCTGCCATGGAACATGAGCCTGTGTCACCCATGTGTTGATCTGTCCCTTTTCCCAACTCTCCCCATGGGATAACTGGACCTCCTTCTACTGACATGAGGGATTTTATTAGGTCTCTTTAATTAGATGAACTTCAAGACAGAACAACGCATCCAGCCAGTAGGTCTTGTAGTCAGATAGTTATTTCTCAGACCCTGTACTTGTGTAGTTGAGATCAGCATCTGGCCTAGTAGGACTTAGAGCTGCCCAGAATGAGCGTTGGTAGGAGCTGGGTTTGGAGGAGTGACAAGCAGTTCTGACTGTGCCATGCATATATCAGTTCCTGACTGCTTCGCCTCAAACAGCCCAGCATGCATGCCGCTTTATCAGGCTTTGAATGTACTCTGCAGTGTAGGCTGGCATGTGCAAATGTCTTGCAAGCCTTGCTCAGGATCCTGCAGGAGCTCATTGACAGAGTGGATTAATGTCAAACAGCAATTCCCTTCAGTTGGAACCCCTCTTTGCTACTTATATACTGAGCGGATAGAAGGAAACATTCTTAAATGGAAGAAGCGTTATTTGTTTAATGACAATTCACACACACCCCCAGCACAAGCAGAAATTATAGATTTTATTGCTGCTTTTGGCTTGTATCTGAGTTTGCATTTCTGCGTTTCTTATTACATACACTCATTTCTACACACATTCTTCATACATTCCTCATTTCTTGTTACATACACTAGGACAAAAGGTCTGACGAACCTGTATTTCTTAGTATGTCCCATGAAATAGGTATTTACACTATTCGGTTTAGTCTTTAAAATTTACAACCTCATCATTATTGTCCTTCCTTCCAGCATTTTGCCTGAAGTGCTCCATGTACAGTGTTCTGCTTCTTGTGAGAACATTCAAAATGAACATTCAAAAGGTTCTTAGCAGTAAGTAGAGCTGGGGAAGTATACATGGGCTTTGTACTTCCCTTGTGAATCCTGAAAGCACTGAGTCTCTGAGAAACACAAAGGAGTACACTGTGCTCACCTGCTTGAGACCATTTTGTCTCCTCCACAGACTTGATTTTCTGCATGCATCCTCAGAATGATGGTGAACCCTGCAAGTTTTATTTACATTGAAAAATGGAAGAAACATGTTTTTTTTCTCCCCCAGTGTATGAGAACTGGGAGTTTAGCACTCATTGTCACAAAGAGAAACTCATTATGCCATTGAATCATTCCTCCCAAGCTGGCTGCTTGAGTATTGATCCCTTGTTCCTGAGTAAGTAAACCCTGTGGTTGATCATAATTATTCTGGAACATCTTATTCCAGTGACTGGATCAATAATGTCTTCCATGGCCTCCTGCCTTGTGTTCCTGTCATGCCTCGGCACCTCTGCATCACCTGCTGTTCATCAGGAGACCAATGGAATAATTTGCTGTGATGGTGGGAATGCCATCAGCCACTTCACACTCATTTAGGTCTCAGCCAGGCCACAAGGTGAAGCATTGGATGTACAGCATCTGTAATTAGAATTTGGGTGTCAACTGATACCCAGACAGCTGTTGTTCTAAATATATTTCCCCTCCATATGTACACATTTCTGATGGCATTCATCAGTTTTCTTACTAAGGTGTCTGGGCTGTGGCAGACAAGGTGTCAGCAGCACCTCATTATAGGCAGTTTCCTGCCTGCTCTCCAGTCTGCCCAGGTACTCAAGAGTGGACTTCAGGGAACAGGTCTCCTGCATGATATTCCTACCTGGAAAGAGCTAGCACTTGGAACTGCAGCACACTCGTTAAATTCTGACCCATTTCTGTGAAATAAAACAGCAAGGGCAGAAGTCTGTGTTTCTCTGCCTCCAAAATGAACCATTATGGCAATCTCCTGTTGCTCTGTGATCATCCTGCTAGAGATCATGTCTATTTGGTGCTTGCAGCTTTTCCCAGGAACAGTGACAAGACTAGGTAGGAGTCAGCCAAGTATGGAAGACTGACAGAACCTGCCATAAAGCTGCAGACAGCCTCTGCAGACGTCTCTCGCTTTCCCTTGGTGGTGGGGGGGGTGGATTCACGTAGAACTTGGGTATGTCAGGTTTTGCTCAGGTGCTCCCTCAATGACATGATCCCACAACCCCTTTCCTGCTGCTGCTTTCTGAGTGTTTTGAATTAAGTAAAGGCAAACTGTGTTCTTTAACAGCTCCATAATGATGTCGGTCCCTACAGGATATATTTCGTATCTGACCCAGGAGGCATTTTTGTCCTTATAATGTTGACACAAAAATACTTGAATACTTTATCTTTTCCGAAGTGTCAGCCACATCTGCTGTGGGCCCTGGAATAAATTTAAACAAAACTACAAGGAGTTCTCTTTGCTGTATTATGAATGAGCAACCTTTTAAGGTATACTTAAAAAAACCTGCAAGTAGATCTGTATTACATGACTTAACTGTGAGTCAAGAATTGTGCTTGATCCAGCACACTGATCCCACCCTCTGTTCTTATGACGTTATCAGTTACAGCACTGGTTACTGGAGTACATCAAAGGTAATAGGACCCTGTTAAGTGTTCTAAAACGTGGTGCATCCCTAAAACTTGGTGCTGTAAACTGAGTGAGGCTGAAAATGGGGTGGACAGCTTTTAAAAAGAGGGTTCTGAGCACATCTTTATTTAGCCTAGAAATGCTGTTGGAACAACCACCGGTGGTTCCCTAAAGCCTTTATATGAGGACCTTGTCTTTTACAGAAGGGAATTTCGTTACTGCTGCTTGCAGACAGAGTGGCAGCAAGGTGCCCTGAGCTGTCCTATCTGCAGGATGTAATTTTAATTCTGGGTTAAAATACCACAAATTCAGATGTTTCCACCAAGATCTGTAC